CTAGAAGCCCCACGCTGGAGCCGGCAGTCGTCGGGGGGCCGTAGCCCTGTTTGGAAAAGGACTCACGTCGGAGAAGTTCTAGAGAAGGACTCTCAACCTGAGGAAGGGACTCCGCGTGGCAGCCGGGAGAGACTGTGAGGAGAAAGGAGCAGGGACTGACTGCAGCCCCCCCAACTCCCTGCCCCCCTGTGCTGCTGTGGGGGGGGAGAAAGTACAGAACAAAGCCTTTGGGCTTTGGGAAGAAGGGGGGAAGTAGGGGAGAAGTGCCTTTTTGTAAGATGTGGTTTATCTCTTTCAGTATCTTGCTTCTTGTTGTAAATAGTTAATAAATTCAATTGTTTTTTCTTGTCCTTCACGAGTTGTGTTGGTTTCTTGCCCGTGACCCTAAGTCGTGAGTGAAACCCTCCCTGTCCCTGCCTCAGCCCACCAGGTGTTTAAAAAAACCTGTCCCCCTGGTTTTATAAACCACAACACCCCTTTAACAGCTTCAATACCATGTGAAAAGGAGAAAATTTTAACCACTGCACACATCCAAGTAGAGGAATGATGCTAACACACTATATGGATCTACACTTGTACTGAATCTCTTAACTCCTTATCAATAGTATCTTTGCTGTTAATTTGAGAGAAGAGATGCTACACAGGATGGACAGTATTTTTTTCAAACTTGGCCATCAACTCCAATACAAATGCTTGTTAACTAAAAATACTGGACTACCCCAAAACTTAAGTTCATAGCACTGAGGGGAAAAAAAACAAAACAGCCTATCTTATTATACCATTTGTGCTAAAGATGTACAGGAGAATAGCTCTAATTTTGTCATAGCTCTCATGACTTTTTTTGAGCAGAACTGGAAGAAGGACTCTCATTGAGTCTTTGACTTTTTGACCTTCTACATCAGTTCCAAGAGCCAAGTCCTAAATTAAAAAAAAAAAGTGGTTTTAGTGAGTAGTCATTAATAAAGCATTGGTTTGTGTGTTCTGAAATGCATTTTTATGAAACAATAGGTTTCATAAAACAATCAAGCAGCATCAATTTAAACTATGTATGACAAGTCTTTGACATAATTATTTCAACAGTTACACCATTATAATAACACTACATAATACTCAAACATTTAAAACTATTTGATATCTAGGATTTATATAAATATACATTTTAGTTTTTAACTTGAGATTAGTAGTACAATGTAATGCCTCACCCTAACAGGTGCTTTTCACAGACATTTTAAAAGGGCTTCCTTCTGCAGAACACAGTAAGGCAACTTCACAGTTTCAACAAAAAAAAAAAAACAAACCCCAAAGATGACCCTTATACAGATCAGCCAGATTCAAAGACAGAAAAAAAAAAAACCAAACTCTAAAAGCACCTCCTTTATTGGCAGAGTAAGAGCCTTGTATATCTCACCTCAAAAAGTAATTGAAAAAAAAAAAAAAAAGGCAAGAGTCACAACAATACTTTTGTCAGTTAAAAACAAGCATCTATTCTTACAAACTAAACAAGTTACATTTGCAGTAACTTGTTTAGTTTGTGGGTTTTTTAAACATACCTGTTCAATTTTACAGAGCATTTCTACGTTAGATTTGAACTTGCTCATGCAATCTTCTGCTAAGTTAAGGTGGACAACTTGCTAGAAGACAAAAAAAAACCCAAACACACAGGCTGCTATAACTTGCTTTATTTTTTTTTTTTAATCACATAAAGCAAACATTTTTACTGGTTACAAGAGTCAATCCTTCAACTATCCCTCAGTACCATCACACATCTTCTGTGTTTTACCCTCCACTTAAGAGATTGACCCCTGTAATACCCTTTAAAATCTTAAACTGCTATGCTCTCTTCAATCCTCAAAGCATACAAATCATTCAAGTGGTTTTGGTTTGCGTTTAGTTTGTTTTTTTTTTCTTTAACATACTAAAATTAAACACCTGGAAACAAGTTTTCACCTCAAAATTTTACAGGAGGTGAACATATTAATTTGGAGAAAAGTTATGTAGCACACTTAACAGGAAAATGACAGAATAAAACTAGACTTCAATAACACAGAAAATTATACTCTACAAAATGATTTATTGTGAAGTTGTAGTTACAAAAGACCCCTTACCCTACTAATCTCTTTACGATAGTGCGGCATCTTTTTCATTAACTGGGACAGAGCAGATATCGATAACTGTGAAGAAATGATACAAGTTGAAAATTCTTTCCCCTCAGCATCTGACATCCTATTTCCCTTCCTGTTGCAGCCTTGTTTTCCTGCCCCCCAAAAAACTGTCATTGAGATAAGTCTCAATTTCTGTAATAAGTCTTTGAATTACCCAGATCTGATCAGATGAAAATAATTAAATTACCAGGAAAAACAACAATACATCAATTTAAACAACTTACCTTTCCATCTGTTGCTTTTTTTTTGGATGAAATTTCTTTCAAAAGCTTTGGTATTTCCCTGAAAATAAACAGAGGACAGTAATCAAATGCAACAGCATGACAGCTCTTAAATATTTTATTAAAATCTTTATTTAAAATCTTAAAAGGTGCAACAAGAACTTCTGAATGAAAGTACGAGTCAAATACAGGTCTCCTTCAGGGAAGAGAGTGTTTTTTGATAAAGGAAACCGAAGCTAAATGTTATGTTTATGATATCTGCCCAATGTCATTTGATGCAATAACTTGACAGTACTTTATGCAAAATAATCCCTTCAGATTTAAAATATTTGAAGATACTTCCCAAGAAATAATCTTTTTCCTCAAAAACTGTAGTTAATATTAGTAAAATCGCATACCTATGTACATACTGTATTTTTGACAGTATGTTTTCATCCTGGCATCAATTATTTAACAGGATGCAGTCTATATTGCAAACCATCTGCACTACTGCCTGTATTCCTACTTTAACAGTTCAAATACATTCCCTCTCAAATCAACTTTTATAATTTGCATTGAACTAGTTTTTGTTATTTATTCACATACTCTATCACGTCTGCAATATGCTTGTGCCGAATCTTCACCCAGAGTTCATCATCTTCCTCCAGAATTGCCTCCCGTTCCTTCCCAGAAGGTCCTTCTGTTTTGTATCTTCCAAGACAAAATTCAGACAGTTGTTCGGTTTGTGTTCTTTTCCCCCACCCCTCATTCTCATAACTCATTAGAGTATTAATTGTTATGGTTTAATCCACATATGTGGTAGTTGCAGTAACATATACAGGTTTTCACTTACAAACCAAGCTATTGCCCAATACAATATAATTTACATAAGGAATTTACAGATTACATCTTTGAACACAGAAGCAGATGAATTTTAGAATGATTCTTTGAGGCAATAGCTTCTGGACATTCTCTTAAACCGACAGCAATGAGAGTTTCAATCACACATTTACACGCACCTCAATTTCTCTTCAGCTTCCAATGTCAACTGCCCTTTGGCTTCAAATGCAAATTGTGTGCAAGGTAATACACACGGAGATTGTAAAGTGCAGCTCTCTGTATTGACTACAAAACATTTTGTAACTCTGAAGGAAAGTGAAGTCCCATTCACCCACAAAATAGACTGAGTAGGACAAATTACTTCACATATACAAGAAACATGCTTCACAGCATTACAGACCAGCTATTACTTCTGTACAAACAGAAATAAAGCAGGATGACAACCATATTACATAACATTTGCACATTTACAGAAACTCACACGGTGTATATGGCCAGGAAGCAGAAAAAATATATTAAAAGTTACAACATTAATTGTGAAAGTCAGATCACGACTACTTAGAAAACACACTCTACCAACATTTCATACCCAGCAAACTTCAGATTCCTAGAATTCTACATTTGCTATGAAAACATTCACTCGGTATTTCTGACAGAGAAGGTACACATTCCTGTTTGCTTAATTAAACAATGAGGCAATGAGGTCTCATTTGCTGCAGTGGATCATCAAAAAGCAAAGTCTTACCAAAATGTTTGGTGTCAGAACAATCCAACAGCCAAGTACATACCTTATGCAAAACAACGTCACACTATTCCCACCAGCGACAAAATAATGCTTATAAACTGAACACGGCTTACTTAAGTATGGATTTAGGTTGGGAACATGTAAATTTTAACAACTACACAAACTCAATGACTGGAGCTATAAAAGTGAGTGTTCCTGATAAATAACAAAGCTTTTTCCTCAGTATTCAATTACTGGTCTTGTTTGCCTTGTTAGGCCAAGAAGGTTGAGAATATGGAAAAAAATGGTAGAGAATCCGAATGTGAACTACCAAGGTTTTGTTTCAAATCTAGTACAAAGTTCTTTGTTTTTAAAAAAAAAAAAAAAAAATTTGTTGGACTCAAAGCCTAACAAAAATGTTAATTAGATCCTACATAATCTCAACTAAATTAGGAAATTAAGAAAAAGAAGAAGTTACAAATCCAGGAGGATTTGTAATTTCGCTAATAAGTGAAACAACCCTTATATAATACAAACAGCTAATATTGCTATGATGAAATTCAGCTCAACAACTCCGCTGATTTTATAACCAAGAAGAAAGTGTTTAGATTTTTTTTTTAAAAGTACTTGCTTGTAAGTATCATTTTCAATCGGTAGCAGATCATACACCATCGCCTGGAAGGTGAGTTCATGAAGTACAGTTGACACTGGGTCAAAGCCACGATCAATTATTATTAGTTGGGAGTGGGTTTTAGCCTAGAAAGCCATCCAACAAATATAAAGTTAAGACATACAGTACATACATTTACATAAGTTACAGCACTGCAGACATTTTTGCAAAAATAACTGAAAAAAATCTAAAAAGTATGGTCCACGTGTTTACCAAGATAAATAGAAACAAATGTTTAAACGATAACAAGAACACAGTGGCTGTAGATACTAATCTTAAGGCAATGCTCTTAGTCTATTGCAATGCATTCAGTAACCTCATCAAATTAGCAAAAAATGTAAAGGAAAAAAAAGCCACACCAAAAAAGGCCTCCCACTGACTTCTCACAAATAAGTATATTGTTTGTATTTCTGAGTAGATTATCTACACTGTGCTGCAACACAGAAATCATCTCCAAACATTCAACTCAAGTTTCACTTTGGGGTCTAACATCGGGTAAATTTATTTCCATAGCAGAATGCAACATCACCAAGCCAGAAAGGTTTACCCCATACTTCTGCATTTAGGCAGCTGCCCTGATCCATAGCAACACATAAACCATTATTTATGTGAAAAGCTGTAACTTTGTGGACAATAAATCCCTTAACAGGAGACATTTCAATTCTTAAGTGAAGTCCCTTCTACACAGCCCTATGGAAGGTGATGTTAAAACAAGTTATCCACTTCCCTTCAGGCTTGTATCATCCCCTACATTATCATGGGGCTAATTTTTCAACTACAGTTAGTTTGATCACACAAATTGTATTGGCTTACATACAGATTTACTGTATCAGTTACTACCTCTAAGTTGCTTTCATACAGAAAAACAACTCAATGGCAACTAGTTGCCTTTATTAGTAAATAAAAATCTGGTTTTGTAGAACGTACTGTCAAAACCTATTCCAGAGGTCTGGGAGGTTTTTTCCAGACTTACAAAAAAAAGAAGCAAACATTTTAGTTCACTTTCTACCTTTATTTGGCTTTTCTCATCAGTTTTGTAGTAGTTTTCAAGATTTTTTTCAACAAGTTGTGCAAGTTTGCTGGCTCTATCAGATGGTCCACTAGGAAAAAAGGAAACATGGAAAAATAACTTAAATTTCTTCATCAAAACACTGAAATGCTATCTTTAAAATAGAAAGAACTCCCTAGATTGACCCTCTGGTTTCACAAGCGGTTTCTGAACTCCACTCTAAGCATTTCCAATATATTTTCATTCTCAAATTAGGATTCCACTCTTTGAATGCTTCAGGTATTTCACACAGTAGAAACAGCTTCTGTCAAAAGACTGACATTAGCTGGCGTATGGCCCAGCACCTAAAATTCTCACTCAGAGGCAGGAAATAAGAAAGAAAAAAAGAAGAGAGAAAGAGAAAAGAAAAAACAGTCAAGGAATTATTTCTGTTACCTTTGCAAAGAATAAGGTACCACTTACACTACAGAATGCCATTCTTGAGCATAATTTCAAATGCCTGCTTTGACTTAAAAGACACTACCCTGTACTCTCTATCAAAGCTCAAAAGAGGCAGTCTCCTCAATATCTCTTCTATAAAGAAATCCTGATCCCATCTGCCTCAGCAGTTGATGAATTCCTTGATGCCAAGCAGAGCTGCAAAACTACCAACGGCAGCAGTTCTGTTACAGGATTATGCATTCAGCGTACTAGAAAGCAGCATATTAGAGTGCCATTGTACTGACCAGACACGAAACAAGCAGTTCATAACAAAACAGCATGTAGTAAGTACTGTTATATGAATACACAAAGAGAAATAATTCACTGCTCTGTCTACACTCCACAAATTCCATCATTCCATATTTCAGAGTTGTGGATTAAAAACAATTAATCCACAATAAAAGAAACAAGGCTGCAGCCTCAAGCTATTACCAAACAATGTGGGAAGTCCTAAAAGTGAAAGCAACTACACTATACAACACTGGTTTTGCCTCACCTTTTATACCGTACTCCTGGATTCTCATCTAGCGTGGCACATAAGGTAACAATTTGCTCAGCCATTACTTGCATTACAGTGTCTTTATCCTTTGTCTTTTCCAGAGTTGGACTATAACAGCGGTAGAATGCATCTGGGACACTGAGAGTAAATACCTACATAAAGCACAACCAAGAAAAAAAAAAAAAGGCTTAAATTATATATTTCTAAAATGTGCAGTAAAAGAATTGCTAATACTTCAAAGCTACCCACACTTGTCTTGTTTCTCTGTCCTGCTGAGCTCATATGCCTCTTGTTCTCATGCTCTTTTCTTCTATTAGTCTCCTCTCCTATGTAAATTAGTTTTTTTACAAATCGCCCACTGTCTATACAGACAGAGAGACCTGAGACAGGCAGAACTCAGTACTATCCAGTGTCTCATAGAGAGCCATACAACGCAATACCAGAATGATCACAGACGGTATAGAGTTAAATTTGCTTAAAACAGAATTTTACATACTGTATTTTGTTATTATATGAAGACTTTACCTCCAGGAATTGAATTTGCATTCTTTAAATGCATTAAGCCTTGATACAAGATGTTTAGTACTACACAGAAGGAAAACTTTCAACAGATTCACAAATGGAATGCAAACATGGAAACAATCCCCTTGTCAGTAAATGGATTTTCTCCAGCTTCAGTGGACTCTGTAACCACAGAGCCAAAGAAGAACATCCATCTAGATAAAGATGGTTGTTTCATTTGAGTAGATAATCACTTGGACTTTGGCCAGAGCTCAGTCCGATTATTTACTCTTATCACCACAGGAAGCAGGCCCAGAGATTTTAAATTAGGAAAATCAGTTAACATTCTCTGTTCCTTTGCTAAGGATTCAAAATGTTCTCACAACCCATGCTGAGAACACAAAATTAAACTAAAAACAAGAAGAGACTAAGTGCTGCTTATTTTCAACTTTAGAAAAGTAGTCCTAATTTCTACTTTCAGGGTAAATCCTCCAAAGAACCAGGACAACAAAATTTTTGCATGCCTTATTTGGTAGGGGAAGCTACAAAACTTTTCTTAGGAGTAGCTTTAGCAGAACTCCCAAAACCAGTTTGAAACAAAGCTTGGTAACATCAACACCACTGGAAAACAAACCACCACACTATTATTTGATGGCTTCTCAATTTACATAGTGAAAAAACTTCATTCTAAAAAGGAATGTGTCTTGAAATCAGGAAACTGCATCACAGAAAGACACGGATAGCAGCAACCTCTTCAATATTCACCTGCCACCTGGTAGACACAAGAGTTCTGACCCTTGATAAGTTATAAGGTTTGAAGAATATAGAAAAGTCTTGGAAACATTCATGGTTAGTTCTACAACTCTCAGTAGCAGACAGGGCTCAGGGCTTCACTGTATTAGTATCAGAATGCATTTCAGCCTTCTATATTTGATCAAGTGCATAAGGAAGAAATTATTTCTCAACACAATACCCACCATGTGGTTTCACATGTAAACCACTCATTGGTTTCCACTGGTCTCAAATTTAATTGACAAAACATGGATTTCCATGTCTTCCTCCCAATAAAGAGCTTGCCAAGCTGTTACAGTTTTTGTTTCTCTTTTTTTTGTGAGGCTTTGGTTTTGTTCCCCTCCTCTTCTGCTTCACCCATTTACTCTCCTTTTCTGATTTTCAGCAAGTAGCTACTTCTGCTTATTCCTATTCCTACACACCAATCTATCTAGTATGTCAAAGTAACACCCCAGTGTAGGCAGGAACTAACTTTACTGCTTACTAAAGACAAGCCAGAATACTTCCTTCTCTTAAGGAACTGATTCCTTCTCTAACCTCTCTACTGCAACTGACTCCAAGTCTTGCAAATAGGTCAAGGACAGAGTAAACCTTTTGAGTACATGAGCATGTTTTCATCTGAAAAATATACACAAGCCCTGGAAATGTGCCAAAACAGCATCAGGTCTCACAGTCTGTCATTAAAAAAAAAAAAAGAAGCTACATTCTATTTAATTGTTTTCTGGCAGGTCAACACTTTAAATAGTCCTCCAGACTATTTTCTGCTGTTGAGATAAAGAATTAAACTTACCTGAGACTCATATGGGAAGAAGGAAATGTTGATCTCCTTGCACTTCCTTATTGATTTTGCACAGGAAGACTTAATTTTATTGAAGAGGTTGTCAGGACAAACTAGGGAAAAAACCAAGATTTTAAGTATAAATAATTTGTGTGTATTTCAGCTGTTAACTCACTTATAAGCTTACAGTACTCAGGACAGACAATTCTAAATTAAGAACCAATTAACAACAACATACAAAAATGTTGCCAAATCTTCCTAAAGTGAAAGAGAACACATTATCAATATTTTGTGTTTGAGATCTTTTTCAAGAAGCATCACTGCTCATTTTTTACTAGCTTGTGGCAAGCAAGTTGCAGAACACTCACTAGCAGTCTGCAGCAGTAAAGGATATTGATTTTATTAAAGAAAAAAGTTTCTGCTATTTCTTCACACATAAGACAGCAAAAACATTTCCCAAGCTACAAAAACATTAAAGGAAGAAATAATGTGTACACAAACAGCAAAACAGAGAAATATGGAATTTAATTATATCTTAAATGTGTTCCACTACACTTACAGGCCTCACTGGATCCCAGCCTAGAAACTGAATTTAAGGAGTATTTGGATGATGAATACTACACAGACTTGGAAGTAACAGAGTTATTGCCCCAACTCCTCTCAACATGAAAAGTTTTGGCAACTATTCAAACTAAAAGCTTGCACGCTTCCAACAAAGGAACACACAGCAACACAGCAGTATTTTTCCAGAACAAGAATTGCTGCATCAGCATGAAATGAAACAAGAAGCCAAGACGTTTTGATAGTAATTGGAGAACTGTTCTGAGAACATACTGTAGCAGATATGCACCATCCACAGCCATCCACACAGCCAGCCACAACTCGGTCTCTGCCTTCAGCGGCAGGTTTGGGTTTTTTTGTTTTCCCTTATTGACATGCCATTTTAGTCACACTGACTGACTGCAGAGGAACATCCAATCACATTAACCCCATCTGCACTAATTGTCTCTGCTTTGCAATTTATATCATGCAGGTGAGGGATGAGTAGGCACCTTCTTTCAGGTGATGGGAAAAAAGCTGGCTCACAAGCCTGAAGGAACTACCTAAAATCACCAATTACAAAACACTGTTCTTGCAGCAAATTCTCATGCATTATATTTAAGTACTATCTTGTTTGTACGAGATACATAGTTTTATTTGCACTGTCTTCATCCACACTCTCCAGCATAAGAGAAGGTTGGAATACTTTATCAAAATAAAACTAGATGACATAAACTAAAAGCTGAAGCAGGGAACTATCAACACTGTTAGGTAATTTTGAAAGAAATTACTACTGCCACATGGCACAGTGACCACATTCTGGCAACCCAAATACAGTTAACGACTTGAGTCTCAAATCTTCTGTCATGAAACAGGACCCAAAATTTTCATGTACTAAGCTACAGGAAAGGAAGTTGAGAAGCTTACTTATTTACACATATAAAGTTATCAAACTACAAAACAAAAGCTTACTTACAGTCAGTGAAATACACATATGCTGCTTTGTATCTGCTGGATGATTTAGTGATGAAGTCATCAATAAGTCCATCTACAGACTTAAGGGAGCAGGAAAAAAAAATCATTACAATGTTTTTGCCTTTCCTCACATACCAGACAAAGCTTCTGCCCCCTCTCCTCCTCCCCTGATAACTACCCAGTCCTACTTAGGAATACTGCAAATCAACATGTAAGAAAAGAAAATACTTAAGTAGAAGATTTTTAATTCCAGACCAAGAACAATAAACAATTACAGAAGGTCAGCCATGCACCAAGATCACTTTAAGAAGCAAACAAAGCAAGATACCTGCATAATTTTCCACCTACTGCAGTGCCGAGATTTATTCTCTCAACGATTTTTAGGATGTAACAGTAAACTCTTATTAGCGCCATTACTTTGAATTCTACTGTTTAACTTATTGCATCATTATTTGCCACAACATCTCTTTCAGTGAGGTTACCAGTGTGTAAGCAATAAAACAGTGCCTCCATTGATCAAAGGTACACATTGGAAACATGCTCAACGGTGACACTGCATTGTCTTTTCATTATGGAAAATTAAGCATCACACAAAATGGAAAAGTTAAGCACGGCATAGTTGTACACAGTACATATTTTCAAATAAGATTGCTTTTTCAGGATGGAAGATCTTGCTATGCTTTCTTTAAAATACTAACCTTTTTGGTGGGAGTTATTAAATATATTGCTTTCATGTGTGGGACAGGCTCACGGTTTTTATATACATTCTCCACCACTATAAAGTAAGAAATAATACATTTTTATAAGTAAGAGCTTTTTGCATCTGTAAGGACAGCATTGTACATATTTTAGTATAGAGGTGATAAAAATAAAACAATACCCATCAAGTTGCCCACAAAATTAGTGGCAAGGACCTATCTTCTGCCAAGAGAACCTTGATTTTTTTATTTATTTATTATTTTAAATACAGCAAGTTACCACAAGACTTTTTCAACCCTCAGCCTAGTGTCAACTAAATTTGCAGGACTAAATTTTTCTTGGATATTCTACACAAGCAGAGTTTTGCTCTCACACAGAAAGGTATGACAACACAAACATGGTGCAACTACGGGGCCCAGTATGAAATACCTTGCAACAGAACTGTGTTGGTAAGATTGCTCTTTTTCCAGCACAGTGAAGGACAGGGAGAATGAAACTATGCAAGGCATCGTTTTGGACTATAGCCTCTTCTGTCCTTTGTTTGCCTATTTCCTGTGCACTTACTCTTTCAATATCTCTTTCAATATCATTGCAAGCACAAATTAGACATTTTCAGCAACTCATCTTCATTCAACTCTTGGTTTTCTCTGTTTAATAAAGTTATTACTATATAGTGTTGCGGTACGCTAGCCTGAGAATGCAGAGATTCATGTTGCTCAGTAATTTTGAGAGGGAGGAAAAAGGGAAGATAAGTAATCTCAGACGTCTGGATGTGGAAAGAGGTTCTCTTCAGTAGTGTACTCACTAAAAATAAAAAGGTTTCTCATTGATGAGCACGATACATGTTCACCAAAAATTTCTCACAAAGGATAAGTATTACTTCTTATTATGATTAAAAATACACTCCAAAAAGTGAAATGTATACAGCTTTGCTATTATACTTCCAGAAGAATCACGTTATACTGAATACTTGGAATAAGAAGTCTTGCTGCTTGTGGAAAAATAACTGTCTAAATAATGCTCTCTTACACAAGTGTTTCTAAAAATCTAAGCCTAAAGCTAATTAAAAATTAGATCATTTACATTTTGTGTATTCATTTCAAT